TGTAATATAACAAAACAAATGGGGATGGAAGCAATACGATTACGAAGGTAGCTCTTAATTTTCACATAACTAGTATTTATTTCCAACCTACAACGCAAACACTTCAGATAAATATTAAGCCACCGCATTTATTAATGAGTTTCTAAATAGCAAAATGCCGTAATTCCGTAGTCTTAAAATACTCGTGCATGCCTTAAAAGCAATTATCAACGACGTTAGGTAAATCAATGCAGGTAAACTGCCTGTTAACCGTGAAATTATACAGAAAGTAAATTCAAGAACATTTAAAAATCATGGAAAAAATGTACAAGAGCCATAAATAGATTTCATTAAAAAAATGAGGCTTTATAGAATCGGACTGAACACGATCATGCATTCAAAAATCACATGTTCAACTCATCTGACCTTCCCACTAAATACAAATAGAACACCCCAGCCTCACAACCCGATACTGATCATGTCCTCAAAGCAACAAAGGCCGAAAGTGCTGCCGATACGCTGTCAACACCATAACTTCACATTAAGAAGCAACAATTATCCAGTGGGTTAGAGTATGCATGTTCACTCTAGCATGCAATGGGGTCAAATACAATCATATATAAGGCCATCACCACCACCTTTAGCACAGCTGCATGTGCCTATCAGTGTATGACTCAGTGCATGATTCGAGTAAATTGGGTACGTGTGAACATACACAGCCTACCCCCACCCCCACCCCCACCCTCCCCNCCCCCCCCCCCCCCCCCCCCCCCCCCCCCCCATCATAAAGAGCATCCAAATCACCATCAAGTGCTTTCCCTTTGTGTCTGGACATGCCAATGTGGCCTAGGTGACGCATTGTGGAGCTACGTGAAGATAATGTTTGGACTTAGATGGGTCTCGCGTCAGAATTAATGCAGGTAAAAGAGGAAGCAAAGGTACTTCAGCCGTCAACGCATAAAACATATTTGAGAACAGGTTTAGAAGGAACCGGAGGGTTGATTTAATATTTGCATCGAATCGAGTTGTCGGGAAGACGTCATTGAAGTGTTTCTCAATTATGCTTATGAAGGCAAATAGGAGAAATAGAGTGAAAGAGGAAAATAATAACGATTGCCAAAAAATTGGCTCATTTGAAAAAGATGTCATGATATATAAGATAGGAATTAAGAGGCTGACCTAGTAGATTTCTAATTCAAACAATAGAAATATATTTGTTTATTCGAAGTTAGAGATGAGGAAAAGAGAGACATGTACTGACATTACAAATTTAGAACTGAACAGCGGACAGGTTTACTACACTTATTACTTACTAATTGATCGGCAGTGTCGTGTCCCAAACTAATTTGTTCAGACCTGAACTGACCGAATGCATTTTCAACATTCAAATTGCCCCAGTGACACGTCCTTACTTCACTACCTGTGGTTATTGCCTTAAAGGAATTATGGCCCAGTTGAATGTTTCGACATTCTGTATACTTTATCATAATATAGTAGTAAAACCGGCTCGCTACTGAACAAATATCTTCCGGATGCGGAAACCAGGGAAGACGACAATGGTTTGAGACAGCGTATTTTTTTACTTACTCAGCTTTATTACCTAAAATTATATCCCCCCCCCCCCCCTCCAAACAAAAACACTTTCCTTCAACGTGATTAGAAGACATCTTATTCCGAATTAGCACATTATCCCATTCACTCTACCAAGTACCGTCTTTCGACTAAATATATGGCAAAAACATAAAATTCTACAACTGACTGGAACTAATACCGCAAAAGAGAAAATACATTCTAAAATCAATAAAAATTAAGGAAGTATTTGAGACCTTATTAACAGATGAGAGCTTCAATGCAAAAGACCTAGGAGGATGAAAAGTATGGACGTTAATCAACTAACAGTAATGCTAGCGGTTCAAAGAAAATCCACTCGAAATGTACATTCAAGTCACTTCTCACTTTCACAAAAAGAAGTATATGAGATGACACGATTGAAATAGACAAAAATACAGAACGCGCAATATGCATTCATAGTATGAAAAGACAAGTAGGAAAATTAGATCAACAAAACTCGAAATACAAAGAAGAGAAGTCACCAGTGAAGCATCAAAACATGAGCCAGTGCTTCTGCTATCGTGTTTCATCACCAAGTTTTGGCTAAGTTTATCGGAACACAAAAAACACCAATGATTGGCTACTATAGTGAAGATCTAGTACCATCATCTTGCAAATAACCATTACCATAAATACTAACACTCCAAAAATTTGCTTTAAGACACTTTGATACTATAGTTTTGCACTGCAATAGGAGGGGGGGGGGGGGGGCCAAATAAGCTTACAGGGAAGCCAAACCTACGAAGAAATGGAAATAAACTTTGCTTGAAATGCAAATATCTGTGAAAACTCGACATTAGAGAGTAACAAAAATCACAGCAGACGAACTCTTCATTCTATTAGAGTGAAACATTTCGTAAATGCGAGACTAAATATAAACATTCACACGCATAATAAGAGAACATTAAATTTAGAAAGCGCTCTAAATCAACGCACACAAACAGTGAACGAATGGCTAACCAAACTCGTCCATTCAAGCAAGAATAGATGGTGGCAGAATTCAGATCTCTCACAAGGGAGGGCCCTTGATCCCATTCTCCGCTCAAATTGTGCGTCGTAAAAGGCTTTTTACATGACCTTGAGAATTCTTGTCATTATTAGTTCGAATACTATCCACCAAATTTTGATCGATAGATATTGTCCAAGCTCCACCCTTTGCATTACTGAGTGAATTCAAGTTCTCAATATTTAGAATTCATCCATTAGTGCATTAAATTTTATGAACAGGGGCATAATTTCATGTATTAGAGGAGGAACAAATTGAGAAAGCCATTTAAATTGGTACAATAATACCAAAGCCTATAAATTGACAAGGAAATCATTGAAAGGAATTTCCAGATGAAGTCGGAAAGCTAACTTACACAACTTTAACAAATAGCTCACCTCAATTTATTGGTATATCGATAGGAAAAGAGGCGGATGAGAGTGGAAAAGGGGAGAAAGAGACAGAAGAGGCTTGACGATGACTCATATGCCTGATGCAAGCGACTGAGCCAAATATTCTTTTATGACCTCCACCCCCGTCCCCATTACACAGAAACAAAAGTATTGCAAGGAGGGGAAAAACAGCACACAGCAATCTACTAAGTTACTCCTATAACATACTTTTACAGTTACAGGAATAAAGTACCGAAATAAGCGACATTCAAGTATAAAATAGCCTTTGGAATTTGCTGATGAGACACCCAATTAGTTTCAAATCAGCGAATATCAAAGCCGTAAATCTGTTTAACTTTAAATATAGAAGCAATGCTACCAAATCTTTCAACTTGCTCATTCACCCTCTCTCTCTCTCACTCACTCCCTCGAGTACAAGAGGAATTAAAAGTAATTTTCGAAATATTGGAAATTAAACTCCTTCCCAACCCGCCTTGAAAACGATTCTCTTACCAAAATCAGCCTCTCGACAAGACAAACTACAACCCGAGGACCATATGAACATTCACCTTTTTAAGGAAAGGAAATTTCATTTCCCATCATCTTCCTTCTTCGAAAATGTAGTGTTTGTAACACTGTTTTTTGTCAATTTTTTAACAAAACTAGGCTATTTGAAACATCAGCCAAATGAGGTATAAAATAAGCAATGAACCACTGTGATTTTACAGCATATGACTAAGACAATTACACTGAATACACAATTGCCAGCAATTATGAAATACCTGTTTAAGTAAGTTCAAAAATGAAATATTACCCAAATCCACCAACTGACACTCATCTTAAGTAATAGAGGAATATGCATTAAACTTAAAGCTTGTGCATAAAGCTTTATTCCTAGAATGAGATGGGATTTAATTTCACACTTAAAACAGGAGGAGAAAAGCCTGAGAAAAATGACTCCTACCATAGAGTTATAAAATAAACATTGATTGGTGTTAGGCGTATTTCATGGCGAAAAAAACCACAGTAGTAGTAAAATTTTGACCTCTGACTCCCGTTACTCCGGAACACAAGGTAACAGAAACAAATCGATTAAAATTTTGTCATACAGTGGCTAGCTAAAAAATCAAAAAGCCTAAAAAGGAAGGGAAGGCCTTTTAAATTCTTGGAGTACACCCCGCCATTAATTAAACCATTTTTAATTAGCCCCCCTTATTGCATTTGCAGGATGGTATTGGATCTCACTCAAAAGAGCTTCAAACAACTGGATAAGTCAGCAAAGAGAAAATGTATTTAAACGCTTGTCGGCCCACACACAAGATGTTCTCATACGAAGCAATCACCTGAGGATGACGAGCGAATCTATTAGCCATGACATATAAATTTAACTACCGTATAGATAAACATTCGATTAAAAATAGCAAATATGACTATACGGAAAGCTATAATCAACAGAACAGCTTAGCAAAACCCACACAGATTCAAAAACAGAGTTAGCAAGTCATTGCAAAAAATATGCAGAACGAATAAGGGAAATTCATAGAGCAAAACTGATAGAAAGTATTAACTGAGTGAATAAATCGCATCAGAAATGACTCTTTGCCACTAATACAAAATATTCTTTACAGTAAAATCTTGTCGATTTGAAAAAGATTATATATTACTGTCTGAAAAAATCCTGTCATTTGTATTTTGGAGAGAACAAAGGTACCAACTCAATATATTCATAAATGATGTTAATCCAAGTGCTAAATCTAAGTAACCATGATTTACTGGTCAGAATTTCTAACCACATAAGTTAAAAATGAACAACTGGGAGATATGCAAAGATTCTCAATCCATACAATATAAGAATTTTAGCATTATGAATAAACCAAGCACTCTAAATCACTATCTATTAAGCCATGATTGTAAAACGATATATTCGTTAAATGACATAGAAATTCCTCGAACAATAAACTGAGGCAAGATTGGATTGAAAATTACACAAAATCTTCGGGAACTACGGAAAATGTATAAAGTAAGTCAGTAAATCATGAGATTAAAACATTATGACCTAGCACGAAAGGGATTGTCAAAGGTATACAAGACGATGATTATAACAAAATCGACAACAAACCATCAGGAAGATCTTGCTTATTCGCAAAGACCAAGATAATAGCATCCTGCATTTCGCGATCATTGGCAATTTTGTGAAGTTCAATTTGTGCTTCTCGGATGCGTCCTCTATCGGCACTATCCACGACAAAAATTAAACCCTGTGTTCCGGTAAAATAATGTCTCCAAAGAGGACGAATTTTTTCTTGCCCACCGACATCCTTAAAGAAGTGTCCTTGAATGAACTAAAAAACTTACCCAAACATTAAATCGAATATTTTCATAAGAAACGGTTTCAACATTAAATCCGACGGTTGGAATAGTGGTCACAGCATTATTCAACTTCAATCGATATAGTATAGCTATGAAAATAACTATCAGTAAAATGTCAGCCTACTAGTCTTTCCAGCAGCATCCAGACCTAACATCAATATTCGCATTTCCTTATTACCGAAGAGTTTTGAAAATACCTTCCCCATATTTTACACAAATAATTTTAATTAGATTTAAATATAAATACTCGTCTGGTTCAGAACCCTACCCAAATGTTAAAAAAGCGATTTTCAAATTGGCGCTGCATAGTCTTACGCAAAAAAAGACAAATATGGTTTAATTAAGTTTCTATTTACATTGTCATAATTTATTACATTTATCGCGGAAAATTTAAATCAATATTTTTAATAATTAACAATCCGAAGTTAGCACTTTCCACACGACTTCTACCCATTCCACCCAATGACGAATTTCTGCATTTTTTGTCCATAAAATTTCGGAGCTGTCCATAAAGTCAGCATTTCAACCAATAATATTTTAGTACATTTAAGTAAGTTTTTTATCAGTTATGAACATTCTTATCCTATATTCAAAGGAAAAATTATGTCGGTTACATTTTCTCATAAAATTAGGAATTGCTTCACCAATGATGTAATGAAACATAGGTGTTTGGACTGGTTTTTAGCATTAATATCATTAAAAATAAAGATTAAACTCAACGGCGCTTGAAATTTCATTTTTGTTTGTTTAGTGCAGTGATGATGAATATGATTTAAATGGCATGACTTTGAAGTCAAATCGTCTCAGGATTTGACGTTTCTCCGGTAATGTACTTTCTACATTAAATACAATTTCATTGTTTTGATAGAATTTATTTGGACAAAGTCGGAGAAGTCAAGCTAGTCGCTCTATAAGTAATTTCGTTTATCTGTGTTCAACCTCGTCGCCTATGTACAAAACTCTAGTTGATGTTGGCTGGCTAGCGATTCAGTTATTTCAAAACAACTATGATATTAATTGTCTTAAACTTCCAACCTTTGTGAGTAAATGTAAAAAGTAAAGCCATTATTCAGATTTTTCATCCGTAAAATCATGCAAATTTTGAGAAAGTCGGGATCACGTAGAAGAGTTAACTAACACAAATAGGCGGGTGGCCAGAAACACTCGTTGGACTGTCGGTGAGAATAATAGATTTAATTCCAACAATTTCTTTGTGAGACGTTAGTCATATCTACTCGACGAAGCCACGTTATGTAAAAAATATATCATAAACTTTCAAGTATAAAAATGAATGACGTCTAGTATAATATCGTAAGTTATTCATAGATATCTACTATTATCACATTGCTGACCAGAGAGGAAGACTAAATTCAGTGTCCTTCAATTAAAAACTACTAAATGAAAGTCCTAATTCTTTCATTTCAAAATCAGCATGTACAAATTAAGATGGCTCTTTTCTGGTAATGCCTTATTAGCATAAAAATCCACCAAAAGACATCCTATTATTTTCCAGTTTGTTGCGACTATCTAATGAAAATCGTTAACAATTCAACTTACTGCAATTAATTTATAATAATAAAAAGTGGTGCAGTGTTAAATTAAAACTATTTAAAAATGGTATCAATGTTAGTGCAACTTGATTAATAATATATTGCCATTAATAATTGGGTATATGCTCACTAAACACTCTTTGAATCAGAAATGAAAGTGTACTTATAATTAGTTTGAAGTTATGTAAATTTACTTGACTTCAGGGAAATATTTTATGGCCCATTTCTCCAATGGTTGATCAAGTGTAAATAGTCATTTGAAAGTTAATTGTTTAAAGATCAATTGCTGACTCAACAATCGATGCATTTTCTTATTTTTTTAAATGGTCAATTATTTTCAGGTATTTGCATTTTTATCTTCATTAAAATAATAATGGCTACATAGAGTTAATTACAGTATATAAATATCATAAAATTCTGAATTTACTCAAAAATTCGAAAGATATGACGATGTAGATATAATTTCATATTAAATATTAATTTGTAACGTTCCAGTTGTGAGCAATGGTTTTATTCTTCTATAATGTCAGCGCGTTATATATTCACTCACTCCTTGAGTATAAAGAGGGCTTTGTGCTAAATAGTCTACTCTCTTATGCTCATTATTTGCATGCTAGAATTGAGGTTGATTTTCCAGCTGCCATTTCATTTTCGAGCCAAAAGAATTAAATTAATAAACGCATTTCATGATGAAATTTCTGGATAATGTGGAACTAGAGTCACTCGTCTTAAAATTATCCAAGGCCAGTCGACGATATGCACTAGAAGTTTGGTAAGTACTCCCGAATTTAAATTTGAATTAAATTTATTTATGAGTGGTTTAAAATTTGGTTTTGTTTTTTATTCTAGCTTGGAGAGTTATTCTTGCAAAATGGTCACTGAGGAGAAGCGAAATTTTAAGCAGTTGAGAGCCAGGCTTGAAGAAGAGGGGTTGCAAGAATCTTGCCTAAATCTAAGTCCCTCTTTAACGTTTAAGGGAATGGAATCTCTGTCAGGAGAAAGACCTGATTATGACAAATATGTTATGAGTGATTACCAAGCTGAGGTAATTTACGAGGCTGCTTTCCTACTCATTGGTGATTTTTTTATTAGTGTTAATGGTTTTTTAATTCTTAGCTTGACACTAATCCCCAATCTCAATCCCGATCTCGCAACCCATCAATTTCCTCTGCGGGACATTCAGAATCTGCTGCGAAATCTGGTCCTACGATCACCGCTAAAGAGCTCTTCTGTCTCCAAGTAACCCTTGAACAAGCTTTCAATTCTTACTTTTTGGACACATCTAGCGAAGATTTCGCTCTGGAGCCTGAATTAATGGTATGCTCTTCGTTGTTCTTTGTTTATTATCTTTCTTCTTTTCTTTCTAGATTGTGAAGAGATATATTGCTCAATTTTGTTCAGTTTATGTGGACAAGTATGAGCAGTATTCTTCGGATTTGTGGACCCATATTGACCAGGAGATTCATCCAAATAGATGTATAATTTATAGGTAAAAATTTCTCACTGCTGATGTTTAAATATTACTTTAATTTTATTCAAATTGTGTGCATTTAGCTACAAACCGGATCGCTCACGTGAACCCTACGACACTAGGTACATGTCCCAGTTCAATTATTTTTTCTTTAATCGCTCGCTCAAGCGTGTTCTCTTCTTCTCGATGATCGTGAGAGAGTAAGTCACTTGTTATTTTCCATTTTTCTGTCTCTTGTTATGATCGTAATAAATGTGTATTTCTTTTAAGTTCCCCTCCGGAAGACGCTTACGATGAAGAAGAAATGGAAGATATTTTTTAAAATGGAATCTTGAAGTGATTGTGACCCTTTCATGATTTTTTAATACTACTTGCTCCCCCTCCATCCATCAAAATCACGTTGTACAGTTTGCATTTCGGCTCCCACTTCGACTATGTATTATTTAATACTAAGCTCTTCCTTCATGTCTATATGCCCTTGTTTGTCAGTTATGATGGTAGCATTGAAGAAAATTGCAAGTTAGCACTCAAATTTCCAAAATTTTGTATTGGATAGGACATTAATTGGAGTGCTATTGGCTATTAGCCTTACAGTTCCCCAATATAGGGGTGTCCCTTTCAAAAATGAGTATTGTGAAGTATCTTCTTTCAACAGGACCAGTTCCTTTCTTGCATGCCTATTTCCTCTCTACCGGTCCCCTATCACGAATTGCCATTGCGATGGAGCCTTCTATGTTTAAATTATGTTACTTTAGTATATGAGTATATAATGCGAATCCTGTGATGGAAGATAATGGGGAAGTAATTTTGCAAATTGGTGTTGATGAAGATCTACCAAAATTCTATTCTTTTGAGGCCTTATTTTTTATTGGATTGCTATTCTTTTCAAATTTATTATCAAATTAAAAAGAAAATTCTAGTTTCTGCTCTGTTTTGTGCGCCGTCAGTGAAAAAGATATCATAGTAGTCTGAGGTCGCAGGTCATAGGGTCAGTGAAATATCCAATCGAAATAGCTAATAAGGCAAATTAAGAGGATGGGAGAAATGAACTTTCCAACTAGGGGGTCTATGCCGCTACCCTACAAAGGTTGTACTGAAAAACCCTTTAGTTAATTAGCTTTCTAGCTATCATTATCTGAGGTAACGGGGTGTGCGATAGACCTGGGCAACGTATAGTCATTCGGCAAAAAGTCTATTAACCGGCTGCTGACTTCTGACTTCAAATTACCATGGCCCGACTGCTTGTCATATTCGACCCCTTCACAGTACTCATCTTATCTTTACTCTACCTTTGTGTCTGTTTGTCTCTTTTACATCTGTGAATCGCTCTTCTGTTCCCCACCCCTCGACTTTCTCTACTTTGATTAACCTTCCCTCTATGAAGCCCGAAGTCAGCTAAATGGCTAATGATAGCTATCAAAGCGCCTGCCATTTGAAATAAATAAATTATCTGAGATAACCCAAAAAATAGACTTTCAAACCAGCCTTATGCGAGGAACGAGTCGAGTTAGTCGCCTAAAGGATGGATTTAGTATCCATTTTATTTACTGTCTGGTTAGCACTACCATCGACAAAATGTTCAAACTTAAAATTTCCTACGAACTGAAAGCGTGTTAACCATCTAAAGCGACGATCTCGAGATACTTTTATTGAGTTAAATTGACCTCGTCCTTGTCAATATCCACTGAAATTACATTCAGATAAAGAGTAACCAAGGCAA